CACGGTAAAGGTGTTTTGACTTTCCTAGCATTTTGTATGGGAGTCATAGAGTGTGTAGATTTTTTGTCTGACTTCTCTCATTTCTTCCTTTTAATTACTGAGTCATTGCTATGGATTGAATCATGTCCGTACCCCACCCCCTGAAAATTCAGTGGTTAAAGTCCTAACCCCCAAACGTGATTGTATTTGGAGACCGGATTTAAAAGGGGAAATTAAGGCATCAGCAACTCAATGGACATGAGTCTGAGCAAGCTCCGGGAGCTGGTGATAGACAGGGAAGCCTGGCGTGCTGCAGTCCACGGGGTCGCAAAGAGTCGGACACGACTTAACGACTGAGCTGAAGGTTAAATTAGGTCATAAACCCGAGATGTCCTCATAAGGAGAGGAAGAGACAAGTGGGGATGCACAGGCACGGAGGAAAGACCATGTGAGGACGCAGCAAGAAGGCAGCCGTCTGCAAGGTTAGGAGAGGGACCTTGGGAGAAACGAAACGTGCCTCAGCTTGATCTTGGACTTCCGGCTTCCGGAACTGTGGGAACTGATGCCCCAGCTGGAGCCCGGGGGTCCCTGCCAGGGATAAGACAGCAAGGAAGGGGGAGGAGGCCTGGGAGGTTCCTGGGAAGCACTAACCCCCCCATCTTTGCCCTCAGAGGCCTTCAGCAGGAGCCCAGCTAGAGAAGTGGTCGGTGCCCCACAGGCTTAGGGAAGACTGGGGGCAGGAGAGGAGATATGCAGGGGGAGACTGCCGAACGAAAGACCCTGCTGAGGACTTGGCACAGGCCCTGCCTCAACGAACCTCAGTCTGCCTGTCATTACAATGGGCATGATAATTCTCTTCCTGCTCCACGGAGCTGGAAGAGATTTTAAAGAGAATGAGAGGACCTTCCCTGGCGGTCCAGTGGTTACGAGTCAGGCTTGCAGGCAGGGGACAATTTCTGTGGTTCGATCCTTGGTCTGGGAAGATCCCACATGTTGTGAGGCGACTAAGCCCGAGCGCTGCAAGTACTAAAGCCCACAGACCCTAGAGCCTGTGCTCCACAACAAGAGAAGCCATCGCAAAGAGAAGCCAGCAGACTGCAACAAAGACCCAGTGCAGTCAAAAATAAATAAATGAATAAAATTATTTTAAAAAATAAAAGAGAATGAGAGGAATGGAGTCCCATGTTGCCACATCAGTGAAGTGGGGAGTGGGGAGACTGGTCACCTCCATTTCACAGATGATAAAGCTGAGACCAGGGAAGAGAAGGGACACCGGGGTCTGGGCCAGCCCATAAGCGCCACCACTGCGGGCTGAGACACCGTACCCAGGTCTGGGCTCTGAGAATGGCTCTGGGTCTTTGTACCACCGACGCCTGCCTCCCAACCAAGCTGTAAGCCCTGGAGTCTGATATCGTGTCCAGTTTCCTATTATCTCCCTGGAATGTAGTGGGGCTCCTGACACACAGATGGTACCAGTCAACATTTGTGGAGTTAATAAATAAATCCACGAATAGTAGCTATGCTTTTCAAAGGGGCATATGAGTAGCCTGGCAGAGTACCAGAGAGCACCCCTTCTTGGAATGTCCCTTTTGTTCAGAGTATGGGGGAAATAATCATGCAACAGTTGACATCATTCTGGGGAGGGTAATTTTTAGTTGTCATGAAGTAGAAACACCAGGATGACGGTTTCTTTAAAAAAAAAATTAAACATAGGATAACCATATGAGTCAACCATTCCACTTCAGGTCTATATCCCAAAGAATTAAAAGCAGGGACTCAAACACCCATGCTCATTGCAACATTATTCACAATAGCCAAAAAGTGAAAACAACCAAAAGTCCCTCAATGGGTGAACAAAGAAACAATAAGTAGCCTATGCATACAAGGAAATATTATTCGGACTTTAAAAGAAAGGAAATTCTGACACGTGCTACAACACGGATGAACCTTGAAGACATTGTACCAAGCGATATAAACCAGAAACAAAACAACAAACGTTGTATGATTCCACTTACATGAGGTGCCTGGAGTAGTCAAATTCACAGAGACAGAAGCTAGAATGATGGTTACTGGTAGGGGCTGGAGGCAGAGGGGAACAGAGCGTTTCTATTTAATGGACCCAAGAGTTTCTGTTTGGGAAGATGAAAAAGTTCTGGAGAGGGATGGCAATGATGACTGTACAACAATGTGAATGTACTTGATGTCACTGAACTGTACCCCCCAGAATGGTTTAAATGGGCACATCTTCTGTATACATTGTGAGTAGTGGTGAAATACACACAACTCCACAGCACTGAAATCATCAGTTGGGTGACCAGGGCCACCTTTCTATCTCGGTGGGTGAGCCTGGCTGTCAAGGTCACTGCCCACTCTGAATGGCCCCTCGGGAGCTCCAGGCCCCAAAGTCCAGGCTGCAAGTCGGATGGAGAAGTCAGGGAGGGAGGAGATGGGCTGATGAAAGGGGCCTGATCAGCCAGCTGATCTTCTCAGTATTCCACCAAGTGTGCCAAACTGGTACCTCCTTTCCTTCATAATATGTCTTGCGTGTGTGCCAAAAGCAGATTTAGGGACTTCCCAGGTGGGCTGGTGGTTCAGAAAGCACCTTCCAATGCAGGGGATGAGGGTTAAACCCCTGGTCGGGGAACTAAGATCCCACTTGCCTTGGGTCAACTACTGAGCCCATGAGCCACAATTAAGATCCCACGTGCTGTAACTAGAACTTGATGCATTCAAAAATAAACGAATTTTTTTTTTTAAAGAGCAGATTTATCAGAACAGACATGGCAGGGATGAGGGGCGCAGAGGCAAACCATGCCCAGGGTCTGGGGTCTGGAGCATCTAGGCCAAGAGGAAACTTGCAATGCCCACATCTGTAAAATGGACTGAATGTGCTCCAGGGGGTTGGAAAGGACGAAACTTGAAAAGCTCTTGGCACAGGGCTTGGCCCAGGGCAAGATCCTATGAGATACCAGTTGGTGTTCTTACTTTGTTTTGGTTCATTTTTATTTTTTTCTTTTAACTCTCATAGGAGGTGAAGACGAACCCGGTCAGTTGGCCATGAGGTGTGGGGGGTTCTGTGAAAGGAGTAGCCAGTTTTATTTTGAATTTCTTTCCAACATAGGAGAAAAATCGCACTGAGAGAGCAAAGTGGGGTTTGGCCAACCGTGATTTCTCTGCACTTCCCCACCCCCACCTCAGTCGAGGGCCTGCTCTAACATTAACCGCCGCCCTCTCCTGCAATTTGTGCCCCCACCCCGTGACTCACACGCCTCAGAACTGATTGTTCACCGGCCTCCTCAGTCCAAAGCTCTTGATGGATCTGGTAATTGGAGTAATTACGGTAATTTTACCTTAAAGACAGGCAGCTGCAGATTCACTATTGGGGAGCCCCCTCCCTGGGCCCCCTGCCAGCCAGTGTTCAGGGACAATGAAAGTGGCTCCCCTTCCCCTCCCCCAGAAGGCAAAGTGGCTGGGGTGGGAAGAGGGGTTCTCAATAGAAGGCATCTCCCACCCTCTGAGCAGCCCCGGGAGGGGGCGGGGAGCAGCAGGATGGGTTTGCCAGGAGTCTCATTTCTACCACCCGAGCCTTGGTTCCGGGACGTGCAAAGCACAGCAGCAGATGCCAGCTTGTTTCCCACCCAGACCTGACAATCAGGACAAGAGACCCTCCCCTACCAAGTCTGTGGATGAAGTCATGAAGTCCCTTATCCTGCAAGATTCAGGTGTGAGGGGCAAGCAGGGGTGTGGACCCTGGGAGGTACAGGGGGAGAGTCTGCAGGCTCAGGAGGTAAAGAATCCGCCTGCAGTGCAGGAGACTGGGGTTCGATCCCTGGGTCAGGAAGATCCCCTGGAGAAGGGAATGGCAACCCACTCTAGTATTCTTGCCTGGAGAATCCCATTGACAGAGGAGTCTGGCAGGCTACAGTCCATGGGGTGGCAAAGAGTCGGACATAACTGAGCAACTAAGACTTTCACCTGCCCACAGCCAGGTCAGGCTCTCACCCCCCAGCCCCCTTCCCGCTGAGCCTGGGCTGCCCTACCCTCAGAAGAACTTTCCCCTTCACACTAGTGCCCCTAAGATGCCAAGAGCCAAGTGTGGGGAGGGGAGGACATGGGAGGTGATGTCTCTCCTGATTTCAAGGTTAGAAGGCTTCCCAGAGAGGAAGGACTTCAATGAAGGTCTGGAAGAATATATGAGACCCTTTGAAAGGGCCTGGGGCAGTAGCCGTCCCCCAGAGCAGACCAACTGACTGTCCCATGCCAGGGCATTGGGGCCAAATGTAGATTTGCTGAGAGCAAACCTGGGAGTGGTCTCAGAATTCTCAGGCCACTGATCTGCTAGATTTAAAGCCTTCCAGTCAGGATTTACCTGGTAGTCGAAGGCAGGGGATGCAAGTTCAATCCCTGGTTGGGGAACTAATACTGCCTAGGGGGGTGACTAAGCCCAACCACCAGAACAAAAGATCCTGCATACCGCAGCTAAGATCCAAGACTGTCAAAAATAAAAATAAATAAATAATTGTCAAAAATAAATTAATTAGTAAACCCTTCCAGTCTCCCCAAAACCCTTTGGATCCAGTTAGAGTCTCTGCCCAGCCTGCCCACTGTACCCTTGCCCTCTCTCAGCTCCAGCCACACCAGCCTTTTAGGATCTCCTCCTCTCAGAGCCTAACACACTGTTCCTCCCGCCCAGAGTGGTCTTCCACCTCTCACTGTTCATCTTTCAAGTTCAGCCTTCTGGAAAACTTCAGAACTAGGCCATTTCCCCTCTCTTTCATTTCACTCCCCACAATTGTAATTAGCAATACCATGGTAATCTGCAAATAGCAATTTGTGGGATGCGTCATTTTAACTTCTTTTCTTCTTCAATAGACTGCAAACTCTGAGATGAAGGTCTGTGTTAATTCAATGCTCCATCCCCAGTGTCTGGTTCTCAACAGAAATTTTTATTGATTGCCTGTTGGAGGTTTTCATCAGGCAGCAATGGGGTGGAAGGGCATTCTCAGAAGAGGGAACACAAGCTAAGGCTCTGAGGCCAAAGAAGACGGAGTAAGCTCAGAAAATGTGGGGCCAACGTGGGGAGCAGAGGAGCAAGGGGACAGTTGTGGAGTGACTCTGCTGCAGGTGAGGACAAAGGGCAGGAGGAGTCTGCATGAAGGGGGTGAGGAGGGAGGGTTGGGTAATCTCGGAGGGAGTCTTGATCCATCTCTTGGCCCAGCTGCCCCAGACGATCTCTCTGCCCTGGCAAGTGATGCTCCAGCAGCAATGGCCACGGCTGAGACCTTTCCTTCCCTCCACCTACAGACCTCTTCTCCTGACTCTTCCGATGGCTGGTTTCTCATCATTTTGATGTCGGTTCCAGCGTGATCTCCTCAGAGAGGAGTTTGGTAGCAGACACTCCACACACATCAACCCCACCCATGCTCCTTGGCGCCCACCATGAAGGCTTCCGATTGCCAGCACCCAGGACTCTCTCTGCCCAGCGTCTTTCTCTGACACAGGAAGATGCCCAACCTCGGAGTCTGTGGGATGGGACGAATGAGCAGGTAGTTAACACACCTGGGAGAAACACTCAACCCATCAAAGAAGAATCGGTGGATAATACTTCATCCTCTTTGCTCCTCGGTTGGCCTGCATTAGAGGAACATTTACACATTTTCCCAGAAATCCCTGCAGCATTTAGCCCCAGCTGGTCATGGCTCTAACCTGCTCAAAAACACACCCTTCACTGGCTCCGGCCCTTCCCCATCTCTGCTCTCACTGGGTCTTCCTGGGACCACCTCCCATATACTCACTCTCCAGCTCTTGGCTCAGAATCTGTTTCCAGGGGCCCCAAAGCTAAGATTCTTCTCTGGCCACTGTAAACAAAGATCCACTCCTGTTCCTACCCCGTCCCCACCCCATTCTCTCTCTCCCCCTCCCCGCCCTCTCCCACCTCTCTTGTTTGCCTCATTTTCTCAGAATTTGATCACAATGTGAGATCATTTGTTTCTAAGTTAGTGTGTCTCTCTCAATAGTCTGTGAGTGCCCTGAGGGCTGAGACTCATCCTGTTTATTACACTGGCCCCAGCCTAGCCCAGGGCTGGGATCACAGTGGGCATTTAATGTGATTGCCAAGTGACTGCAGACTCCCTCATTTCATCTTCCCCACTCTCGGTGGTGTAGAGATAGCACAAGAATCTCTCTCTTGGGCAAGTTACCTGCAGTCCCATGGAGTTGGACTGGAGCCCTATCTACCAGCCAGGCCCAGGGTGGCCCTGTCTCAGCGCTGCCACTCCAGGGAGGCACTCACCAGAATGCTGGGTGAGACACCTCCTCCTCTGCTCAGCGGTCATTTTCACCATTTGCCCAAGGAAGCGCTGCCATTGGAGGTCATCTTTTCAAATCCCGTCCTCCCACCTCTCAGAAGCTGGAGGCTGCAAGGGCTTGTTTTAGCCTGTTCATGCTGCCACAACAAAATACCTCAGGCTGGGGGCTAAAACAACAGACCGTTTATTTTCTTGCAGTCTCGGGGACTAGAAATCCAAGGTCAAGGTGCTAAAAAATTTGGTTTCTGGTGAGAACTCTCTTGCTGGCTTGCAAATGATTGCTTCCTCATTATGTCCTCACCTGGCTTTTTCTCTGTGCCCACAGACAGACAGAGAGGACTGGTGTCTCTTCTTATAAGGACACCAGTCTTATTGGATCAGGGCCCCACACTTATGACCTCGGTTAACCTTACCTTCTTAAAACCTGATCTCCAAATACAGTCATCTTGAGGGCTATGCTTCATCATATGAATTGGGGGTGGGAGTGGGTGGTTGATGCAATTCAGTCCATAACAGGGCTCCTTAAAAGAAACATGATTCCAGTCCCAGTGAGCCCCAGGCTGCAAAGAGCCCTGAGAGGCTGGGTACCCACTGTGAGCTGTGCTAACCCAGCAGCAGGGCTGGTGTGAGGTCATCAATCACCATGACGCCATAGGGTGGTGAAAGATGAAGCCTCGGATAGCGCCAAAGATGAATGAGGAAACTGACATGTGATTAAACTGGGCTCCTCCGCTGATGGCTAATGGGCAAATTCAGTGCAGCGAAGCCTGGGCTCCCAGCACCCACTGAGGCACGTGCCCCTCCTCCTGCCAAGGTTAAGGAGGAGGATCCTCCCTCCAACCACACAGCTCCCTGGCATCCCAGCCTTGTTAATGAGGGAGTGAGTTATGCCATGGGACCAGCGCAGGTGCCAAGAACCATGGGGGAGATAATATCATTCATTACCATTGCAGGCCGCCTGGCTTTTGTTGATAATTAATAATAATAATGACAGCTCTGAATGAGCACTTGCTATAGGTCCTTCAGGTGCATTTCCTCATTCTCTCTCTCTCTTTAAAAAAAAATATTTATTTAATTAGGCTGCACTAGTTCTTCATTGTAGCATGCAGGTTCTAGTTCCCTGACCAGGGATCGAACTCTAGCCCCCCTGTATTGGGAGCAAGGAGTCTTAGCCACTGGGCCACCAAGGAAGTCCTGCATTTCTTCATTCTCACATATCACACCAGGGAGATCAGAGTTAACTCAGGTGGCGAAGACAATAGTTTCCAGAGGACACCGACAGAGGAGAAGGAAGGGACTCATGTATCTGTTCATTCAGCAAGTGGATTTTTATTGAGCACCTACTCTGCACCATTATATCCACAAAGGTGGACAAAGTCCCACGTGGTCTCTGCTTTCATGAAGCTGCATCCCAGTCAGGGTCTCAGATGAGAAAAAATTAAGTATGATAATTTCAGCTAGTGATAAAAGCTAAGAAGAAAATTAATTAAGGTGGTGAGAAAGAGAAAGAGAGGAAGCATTGACCCCTGGGTTGGGAAGATTCCCTGTAGGAGGGACGGCAACCTACTCCAGTACACTTGCCTGGAGAATCCCATGGACAGAGGAGCCTGGCGGGGTACAGTCCATGGGGTCACAAAGAGTCAGACATGACTGAAGTGACAGCACACACGCACCTTCAAATAAGATGGTCAGAGAAAGCCTCTGGAGGGAAGTGGCATGTGAGCTGAGACCTGGAGATGAAAGGAGCCGGCTGTGAGCGTAGCTGAAGGGAGAATGTTGTGGGAGGAGAAAACAGTACATGAAGACATCCCAAAGCAGGAATGAACCTGGTACATCTGAGGAATGGAAAGGAAGCTCGTGAGGCCGGTAGGGTGGGTGAAGTGGCAGCAGACACAACAGACGGGCCTCACGGGCCAGTAAGGGGTTGGGATACTATTAACACTTGAAGTGGCATGGCATCTCTCTGGAAGGCTTTCAGTAAGAGGGCTTTTTGTCCCTTGTTTTACAGAGGACAGACAGGAGGGCAAGGAAAGAGAGTAGTTAAAAGGCATAGAAGGGACTTCCCTGGTGGTCCAGTGGTTAAGGCTCTGTACTTCCACTGCAGAGAGTGGGGGTTTGATCCCTGGTCGGGGAACTTAAGATCCCACATGTCACGCAGGATGGCCATTAAAAAAAAAAAAGCATTGAAGCCACTGAGACTTAGTACCATCATATCAGCACCACTACCACTATCACCACCACCATCATCATCACCACCACCATCACCATCATCAAAAGGATCGAGATGACAGAGGCTTGGACCAAGATGATAGCAGGAGCAAAGAAGAGCATCTATATCCCTTTATCTGAGGGCTAGCTCTGGTGACTGGGACAAACTTTGCCTGGGCTCATGCAAGCTGAGCCCTCACTCCCATGCACTCCCCTCAGCGGGCTCCCACCCTATGACTGCTGTATGCCAGCACCACTTGTGGACTTAGACCTGCATGGATTTTTGTTCACAACTTTGCCTGTGCTCATATAGAATTTCTTAAGGAACCCATAGCCACCGGCTCCGGAGAAGGTCGGCTTCAGCTAGCCTGGCCCAGAGACATCAGTTTCATTGGAGGTGCTAAGAGCTGTCACACTAAACAAAAATTTCTGCCCCCTCCATGCCTGAAGCCAGCTCCAGTTAAAACTCCAAACCCCAGGACGGAACCTAATGCGTGCACAAACTGAACACTGCGCTCACAGCATTGCACTCATAGCCAGTCTCCTGGTTTCACAGGAGACAGAGGCCTGAAGGGGAGATTCACCCCAGGGTGGACTCTGGCCTTGCCCAGAGGGGCCCAGTGAGCCCTCAAGGTCAAACAGCTCCCAGGGACCCAGGCTCAGATCCATCCCCATCAGGCACTTACTGATAGTCCCTCTGACTTCACAGAGGAGGATGTTGACCGACTTTGTGAACCTGTTGCTATAAGACAGAAGCCAACCGCTAGTTCTTCTAGAGGCAGTAAGACCAACCACTGCGCATGGAGCCCAGGCCTGGAAGGGGTGGCCTCAGTGATATTTGGTCCAGGTGGCAGATGAGACTAAAGGACCCTCCTGAGAGAGCCAGAGGCCAGCACCCAGAGGCAGGGAAGAGGCGGATGGATGGCCCTGCGAGAGGACCAGCCATGGGTCCCCCACCACGAGGCCCCTTCCTGCTGGACAGCAGAATGAAAGCTAGGGGAGTGCTGGGATGAGGGGTGACAGATGAGGACAAGAGCCTGCAATGAGGGGCAAATTCTGAGTCAAATGAATTGTGGATATTGAATGAGTATTATGTTAATGATAATCAGTATAAAAGGATCATATAAGTATCATATGATAATTACGGATATCCCGAGTTCAATTCCAAAATCTGTCCCCAATTTGTTGTGCAGCTCTAGGCAAGGTTCTTCCCCTCTCTGAGCCTCAGTTTTCCCATCTGTACAAGAGGAACTGGGCTAGATACTTGCTAAGAACCGACAGTCCAACAGTCCTTCGTGCCAGTTCTATCAGGAGACTCCTGAGCATTCAAGCTGTTTCTTACATCCTGGAGTGACAGTTGTAGATTATCCCCATGGACCCTCTCTCAGTTCTGTGGCCTGCTGCCTCAGGACCTTTGCACGTGCAGTTTTCAGTGTCTGGAAGCCTTACCTCATTCTCCAGACTATACCATACTATATTATACTTGTTTTACATTCCCATTGTAACTTGTATTTCTTATACAACCCAATACAATTTGTAACTTGATAGTTACTCTGTGGCTATTTGACTCATGTCTTATATCTTCCACAGGGCTGTGAACTTGTAGGTCCAGGGCTCCTGTCCTTTTCATTGTGATTCTAGCATTCTACATGGTTCCTGGTCTAGAGTAGGCATTCATTAAATACCTGTCAAATGAATGAATGAATGATGGCTATTATCATTATGATTTGGAGCCAAGAAGTCCTCTAAGGAGGTTGGAGAACCCAGTTCAGATCTCCCCAGAAACAGAATGGCCAACAGCCTGCAAAACTCCCCTCAATGGGCTTCAGCTCCAAGGTGCTGACCCCTCCCTTACCTGCACACTTTCCCTACAGGGGAGAGGCTCCTGTAAGGGGTAAGAGGAGGCTGTCTGTGTCCTCCCCGCTCTCTCAACCCTGTGATCCAGGGCTGAAACGCTCTGTGAACTTGCCTGAGGATGTGGGCCACTCTGGTGCGGGGGAACAGGGCCACCTCCTGGGGACCTTTGATCGGCTAGGCTGCCGGATCTTTGCCACTCTGGGTGTCTGCAGAGAGAGAAAGATTCCTACACATGAACACACACATGCATGCCTGTAATTCAAATGGGTGTGTGTGTAAACGCTCATGCACGTGCACTTTCACAAAGACTCACGCTCAAAATACAAGATGCACACTTACATATCCATCCACACCAGCTGTGTGCACGGATCATACCATGTCCACATTCACAATGTCCCCCAAAGGGTGCACACACAAACACAGGCACAGAAACATGTGTGCACATGCGTTCACGCTCATACACAACAGGAGTGCGTGCAGGGCACCTGCAGACCCACGCAGACAGGTTCATATAAACATACACACAAGGTGACACTGCCAACTTCTTGGTTCTGGGCTCCTCCCTGGAACACTCAGTAGTTTCAGAAGTCCCTTCCTTTCTACTGCCCGCTTCTCACCACAGTCACTCCACACCCACTTTCCCAACCCTTGGCAAAGCACACAAGAGCTGCCTAAAAACGGGGCAGGCGCGATAGCTTCCAGAAGACCCCGGTGCACCGCAGCGTTTCCGCCTTGCTCAGCCGGGTCACCTCCCTAGTTTCTGAGACCCCGCCTCCTCGCTCGCTGCGATGGGCCCGGGGCGCCCCCTTGTGGCAATCGGCAGCGCCGTTCCTGGCAGCCTGGCCCTGAGTCCTTGCAGATGCGGAGGATCAGACACAGGGCCACCAGGTGCCCTCCCGCTGCCCCTTGCCCCTTTCTTCTTCCACCTGGCGAAGGAGTGGATGAGTAGGGGGCACTCACTCACTCGGGGCCGTCCGTCGCCTTGTTCTTGTCTGCGTGCGTCTTTCACGGTCAGGTCTTGAGTCCCCCCGTCGCAGAGGGGGGCTGTCGGCCACTGCTGTTCTTCAGTTTTCATATCTGGGCCAGCAAGAAAGGCAACCTGGCCAGAAAGTCTTAGCAAGGCCGCCGGGGTGACAGGCAGACCCTGCGGGGTCACTGGGGCCTCGTTCCTGTCCCAGTCCCCCAAACACAGCTTGGCAATATGTATTTGTTGAAGTTAGGGCTGAAGCACTAGTTTGATGAGACGAGGTGGGCCATTTAGCCTTTAAAGGGGCCCAGGAACTAAGAGCAGAGGCCACACCCACCCTCGGGCTTCCTGGACAGCAGTCTCCCCAGACAGAGGCAGGTGGTCTGAACATCAAAAGATTATTGCAACTTAAAGAAAACCAGGTAACTCAAGTTAGCTCTTTTCTATGTATGGGAAGTTCTTTTCAAGAGTCTGGGCTCACTGAAATCATTCCCTTGGTATGCACCTCAGCTCCCTGGGGCCAGCATGCTGTGTTTTCACATCTCGGGACTCACTACTGGGCGTGGCTACAGTCCAAGGGCTGCCAGATGGCAGGTGTTCTCG